TCAAAGTTAACAAAAATTAAGGAAAAGAGTGTGTAACTAGAAATAGTGGCCAGAAAATAGGTCAAACAAAGATCTGCAAAACTATAAAGTAGCTAAATATAATTAAGGTCAACACCACCTAGCGATAAAGGCAAAGGGAATGGTGATAAACTGGTGTGGAACTAGCATAGAGGGTTTGTTGATTAATACATATATTTTTTAGTACTTTACTGTTCTACAATGTGTGCAAAAATTTTGCCAGAATGTAAAACAGATACATTTTTAATTTAATTTTTTTTAGGTTTTCACACTGACAAAAATGGAATGGACATTTTAAAAACATTACCTATTCATTTAGGTATTAAGGAAAAGAGTCCAATAAAATGTAAAGTTAACTGTAAGCAATTTTCCCAAAAAGGGCATTTCAACAATTGTTTCAGAACACACCCTGGTGAAAACCCTTACAGATGTGAAATTTGTTTTTGTAAATTTAGTGAAAAAAATCATTTAAATGTTCATATGAAAGTTCACAAGGAAGAAAACGCTTATAAATGTGAATTTTGCTTAAAACAGTTTTTTCAAAGAGAACATTTTTCAGAGCATTATTTAACAATGCATACTGGAGAAATACCTTATCAATGTGAAATTTGCTTTAAACAGTTTCACAAAAAAGTTAATTTAAATGTGCATGTTAAAATTCACACTGGTGAGAAACCTTATAAATGTGAGACTTGTTCTAAGCAGTTTACTCAGCAAAACTGTTTGATAAAGCATATAAAAGTTCATACTGGGGAGAAACCTCATCAATGTGAAATTTGCTTTAAACAGTTTGCTCACAGTGGGCATTTGAAAAGACATTCGAGAGTGCACACTGGTGAAAAAATTTGCAGGTGTGAAATTTGTTTTAAGCAATTTAGTGAAAAAGGTACTTTGAAAGCACATATGAGGTTGCACACTGGAGAAAAACCTTATAAGTGTGAAATTTGTTTTTCCCAGTTTCACCAAAAAAGTCATTTAAATGTGCATATGATCAATAAAGATAAAGGTTTTTGTAAAAAAAGAACATTGAAAATGCATAGTTATAAAAAAACTAAAAGTAATTTAGATTTGCATGTGAAAGTTCACACTGAAGAAAAACCCTATCAATGTGAAATTTGCTTTAAGCAGTTTATTCGCAGTGACCATTTGAAAATACATTTGAGAGTGCACACTGGCGAAAAACCTTACAAGTGTGAAACTTGCTTTAAGCAGTTTACTCAGCAAAGCAGTTTGATAAACCATATAAAAATTCACACTGGGGAGAAACCTCATCAATGTGAAATTTGCTTTAAACAGTTTGCTCACACTGGGCATTTGAAAAGACATTCGAGAGTGCACACTGGTGAAAAAATTTGCAGGTGTGAAATTTGTTTTAAGCAATTTAGTGAAAAAGGTACTTTGAAAGCACATATGAGGTTGCACACTGGAGAAAAACCTTATAAGTGTGAAATTTGTTTTTCCCAGTTTCACCAAAAAAGTCATTTAAATGCGCATATGATCAATAAAGATAAAGGTTTTTGTAAAAAAAGAACATTGAAAATGCATAGTTATAAAAAAACTAAAAGTAATTTAGATTTGCATGTGAAAGTTCACACTGAAGAAAAACCCTATCAATGTGAAATTTGCTTTAAGCAGTTTATTCGCAGTGACCATTTGAAAAGACATTTGAGAGTGCACACTGGCGAAAAACCTTACAAGTGTGAAATTTGTTTTAAGCAATTTAGTCAAAAAGGTACTTTGAAAGCACATATGAGGTTGCACACTGGGGAAAAACCTTATGAGTGTGTAATTTGTCTTTCCCAGTTTAACCAAAAAATTAATTTAAATGTGCATATGAACGTTCACACTAAAGATAAACCTTAATATGAGGAAAACCAAGAATATCAAATAGGAGACTATTTGTGTGGGTATTTAGGAAAAATTGATCAGATATTCACTCTTAGGCAATTAGTAGAGAAATATGAATACAATAAAACATTACACCATTTCTGTATAGATTTCCAACAACCATATGATGGTATCATACAAATGAAGTAGTGGAATGCCATGGCAGAACTAAGCATACAGAAGAGTTTAATTAATTTTACAAAAACTAGA